ACAAGATGGCTGACTAGAGACATCACTTGCCAACCATCCTGGAGGGAAGGAAGAGTTTCAGATAAAGGAGAGGGGAGAGGGGATGCAGTTCAGGTGCAGGTCAGAGAGAAGTGCTGGAGCCTGCTGGAGACCTGGAGGAAAATTGCAAAGCAGAGAAAGAAGAGGATAAAGGGGAATAAAAAGATTTCGGTGAGAGTGAAACCCAGAGAGGCTTGGAGCCCAGTGAAGCGGTAAAGAAAGAGGGATCCCTTTCTCCTTCCCACACGCCTTTGGTGATCAGTGTGCTACCAAGTTACTTAGAAGGTTTTCCACCCCAATGAGTCTAAGCACTGTGACAACCACAGAATTGTGGGGAAAACTTGCATGATCCCAGAGCTTGGACATTCTGTGTGGGGTTTCCCTCCAAGGAGAGTGACGCAAGAGACTGGGTAGTCGGCTTTCTTCCACTGAGACTCTCGTCTTTCCCACCACTCCCCCACCTACTGCAACTGGGAGAGCAGTTTGAGCCAAGAATTTGGCGAGCGGCTGCCTCTCCCCAGCTGGCATGTCCTCCAGTTCCCACAGAGAATACGACCCACACACTTTTCCCTTTCAGGACCTGCAGTGGACCCTAGGTGTCCGATCTGGGAGCTCCCTGGTTGCCGGAGTTTCTTGGAGACACACACCAGCAGATCAGACACACGGACCAGATCCCGTGCCCCTTGGACTTGAGTGGATTGCTGGGGGACATAAGAGGGAGGGTTGGGAGTTGGACTTAGGAAGCGAAGGAGCCCACATGGGTGGAACAGACAGGAGAATACTGTGGGCATCTGAGATGCAGTGAACTGGGGACACGCCCATCCCTCACACCACAGGAAAGCCACACTGTTAGACTAGGGTGGGTCCTCTGGCGGGGAAAGATTCCAGCCCATGGTGCCATAGCAACTGAGTGTGGTACATTCAGTCACACCTGTTTGCAACCAGACACAGGAGGGCAGGGATAATGAAAGGATGGCAGAGCTAACTTCCTACAGCCCATTGGTGAATTTCAGCCTCTTCTCCATGAATAGCCTTCCTGGTTTGGAGAGCCTGCCTTGACCCTCCTCCCAGTAGCTTTCCCTAGTGTCGGAGAAAAAATCACCTTGGATCCTTGTTGAGGCTCAAAGCTGCACTGCCAGATTAGGGAGTGTTCACGGTGGGGAAGATCGCAGGCCAAGGCACCATAACAACTGAATGCAACACATTTAGGTGTGCCCATTTGCAACCAGACACTGGAGGGCAGGGTTAATGCAAGAGGAGCAGAGCTCACTCCTGACAGCTAGTCAGGGAATTGCGGCCCCTCCCTCATGAGCAGCCTTTGGGGTCTGGAGAGCCTCCCTAGACCCTCCCCCAGTGGCTCCCTCCCCCATCCCGTGGCCAGGAAAACAACCTCTGATCCCTGCTGAGGTTTTGCAGAACTTTCCAGGCTCACACAACCTGACCATGTCCAGCCTCACTCCTCCACCCACCTCTGCTGTGGTGGAGAACAAGCAACCCCTTGGGAGCTACAGGGCCCCTCCCAAAGTCTAGGGCATTCAAGTGCTCCACCTGAGGGACTAGAGCTTATCACAGGCACAAAAGAGCAGCATCTCTGTAGCTGGCTCTTACCTGTAAGCATCAACCACTGACAGGGAGAACAACCCTATAGCTCATTACAGCATCTACCAACTCAGTCAAACAGGGCATGGCTAATTCTTACAAGCATCACCCAACAGCTTGGGGATTAAGCCGGGGGGTCCCAGTACAATTCGCACTGCTGGGAAGAGGTGAAGATAGCAGGATAGAAAGCAACCCAAGGGGACACTGCTTTTTAGGAGAGAAGCAAAAGTTACAGGCAGCTTGATCTGTTTGGGGTCTCCCTCCTCCACTGCAGACATATGGGATGATTGGGGAGCTGCTCAGAGTCTGTGCAGAGACAGTCCAGCAGAGAGAAGGTGCAACAGAGATCTGGTGGCTGGCAATTCCAGGTTTCCAGAAGTTATGCCATTCTGATCGCTTCAGTACATGGAGCCAGGTCTGCTTGGGACCTAGCCATCTAGCAGTAACCTTTATGTCACCCCCACTGTGCCAGGGAAGGAAGAGACACTCCCCTGTGTCATGCCCTGTGACTGGGGGCCAAGCATGCCTACTTGCAAGAGTGGGAGCCAAACA